AGTCTCACTCTGTTGCCCTGGCTAGAGTGAGTGCCGTGGCATTAGCCTTGCTTGCAGCAACCTCAAACTCCTGGGCTCAAGCGATCCTCCTGCCTCAGCCTCCCGAGTAGCTGGGACTACAGGCATGCACCACCATGCCCGGCTAATTTTTTCTATATATTTTTAGTTGTCCAGATAATTTCTTTCTATTTTTTTTAGTAGAGACGGGGTCTTGCTCTTGCTCAGGCTGGTCTCGAACTCTCCTGAGCTCAAACAATCCACCGGCCTCGGTCTCCCAGAGTGCTAGGATTATAGGCATGAGCCATCACGCCTGGCCTAAAAATTAGAAAAATTTTTAATTTTTAAAAATATCATGCAATAAGATAACTTTGTTTTAGTAAAATGATCATAGGACCTAAGATTCTTAAAATAAATTTTAGATTTGCTTTTGGGGTGTGTTTTGCTTGTCTGTGAACCCTTTGCCAACAGTTTTGATATCTGAGGCAATGCAGTTCTCTTTGTAATTTTACAGAAATGTGGCTATTTGTAATATTAATTTATTAAATGTTTTAGAGAGAAAATTGGAGATGGATTTGTCTAAGGTCACACCTTGAGCCAGGACTCAACTCAGGTCTCAGAATTCCTTGCCCTGTGTTCTCTCTGCCATATCAAGGGTCAAAAATTTAAAGGCCTAAAGGGATCAGAAAGATAGCATAAATGAGTAAACAGACTCGGCAAAGAATTATTTTTATTTCCACAGAGAATTTTCTCTTGCAACTCACAGTACTCTAGGGCTGAATTCCTTGTTTCCTCCATCAAAGGAATTGGCACAGAAAAATATATCTATTACAAGTGAAACATTAGTGCAGTCATGATGATAAATTGGTAAAATGTGGTGTGTGTTACTAGGCAATGATAGGGAGTAGTGAGGCCTTTTGCAAACTGGAGAGTGCAGTCCTGCCTGGAGGGACCCGTCATCACTCAGCTGCAGCTGACTTGCTGTGGGGAAATATGGGTGGCTCAGTCTTTTACACTCTTCAGTCCTTGAAGAGAAACCAGAATCTGAACTTTAAGTGTACTCTCCCAATTTTAAAATATTGGCTCCTTTTTAAAAACATATATCCCAAATAAAATTCATCTGTAGGCCAGATGTCACCTTGTACTACCCAGTTGTGAGTTCTGTGTTATACTGCATTGCATTGCCATTTCTCCCATGTTCCAAATGCAAATGGAGGAAACAAGAAAATTGTCATAGATTAGACTAGCTCTGTCTATATATTTCTGAGACAAAGACAGTTGTTGCAAAATTGGTTATTTCATTGGGAAAAAAATAACTGCTAGTGGGGAACTTTGTTTTTCTATACTGTGCTAAATTCACTAGAGAACAGAACATAAATAGAGAGATCAGCCCTAGGGACAGGCACTTCCAGGCTATTGGAATGAGAGTTCAGTATTTGACGGACTGCCCACTTTGTGTTGATCAGGGAAGGCCTGTACTACCAGCTGCCATGGAAAACAAAAAGTGCAGCTGACCATTTGGGATCCTATTCTCCTAACCATTTTTACTCTCTTGGTGTACCCCCGCTTCTCCTTCATAATAGATGGGGTATGAACTGAATGCCACCTTTGTAACAGGTACTCACCACAACCTTCCCTGGAAAGCAAATGTTATTATCCCCATTGTACATTTGTAAGAAATAAGGCTCTGAGAGGTTAAGTAACTTCTCCAGGTTTGCACAGATGTTAAGTATAGACTGCAGATTTGAACTTGAGTCTGTCTATATCCAAAGCCTATGTTCTTTCCACTAAGTCACTGTTTTAAAATGTAGGTTTACTATTATCCAGGTATGGTGAGGCCAACAGATCAGGAGACAGCTGCCATTGAAAAGACAGTTTGTTATTCACAGTTCCTAAGAGGAGAGAGCGCTCCACACAGTGCAGGGCTGCAGGAAGAAGCACCGGCCTCAGTCAGGAGGCAGAGGGAGTGAGGGAGAAACATGGGCAAGAGGCTTTATGGTGGGTTTTCATGGGAAGGAACAGGCAGGTAGAGTAAAGCAGTCTTAGTGTTAGTTACATTGAATAATTTTGGTGGGACCCGGGCAGGGAGATAGGAGTTGTCTCTCATAGTCCGGTATCTGGCCCTGGGATGCTTAGAGCAGGAGGATAGTGGCCCTGAGTTTGAGAGCCTGACAGAGCAGGGGTCCCCAACCTATGGGGTGAGTTGTATAATTATTTCATTATATATTACAATGTAATAATAATAGAAATAAAGTACACAATAAATGTAATGTGCTTGAATCATCCCTAAACCACCACCTCCCAACCTCTGGTCCATGGAAAAATTATCTTCCATGAAAATGGTCCCTGCTGCCAAAAAGGTTGGGGACCGCTGCTGTAACTGGTCAGTGTCTAAGTTTGCTTTATTTTCTTCAAAATGCATCTCATTCATCCATTTAAGATGCCAGGCATTGTTCTAAGCACTGGGGAGTCAAATAATGATGCTCTTGCTTTAAAAGAGCTTGGACTATAAGGTAAGAGACAGACATATAAACTAATGATTGTAAAACAGCCTGATAGATGCTACAATAGAGCAAGGACAGGGAATAAATGTGCCCGGTATTCCCACTCTCGGCCTCTGATTTTTGTCTGCATTTCTGCATTTCCTATCCCTCTGCCTAGTCATCCCTGTCCTGCATATCCTACCAGACTAATTTTCCTTAAGTTTTCATCATTTTGTTCCCCAAGTCAAAATAATTTCCAGTGGCCTCCAATTCAATATAAACACTTACCTGACTTTCAAAACCCCCTGTCTGTCCCCACCCTTTTTATTCATCTATGTTTCTACCACTTCATTTATTGTCTCGTTTAACAGATAGTTACCCTGTGATCAACGTGTGCCCAGCACAAATAGACACAAATGTAAAGTGTGGTAAGTGCCACCAAGGAGAAGTGCATGTTTCTACATGAACATATGGTATGCCTTCACTATGGTTCATTCATCCCACGTTTATTCCACAAATACTTATTGAGCACTTGTGACATGCTAGGCCTGGGGCTGGACCAGTCTCCTTACTGGTCACAGACATGGATCTTTCCATCTTCATGTCTCTGGTCTCCACGGCCTCCTTTCTGCCATGCTGTGCCTCTAGCCCTTACTCCTCCAAACTCTGCTTATTCTTGCCCTATCAGCTAAAGCTTCACCTTCTCCAACTATATAATAACTGCCAAATGATTGACCCTTTGCTTTATGCTACTGTGTATTACATGTATTCTATGTATTTCTTATTTTTCGCTGTATCCCCCAGAGCCTAGGCACAGTACCTGGCACAGTAGACATTCAGTAAATATTGAATAACTGCATTCATACATGCACCACATGTGCTAGGTTCTGGGCTTCCTCCTGGAAGTTCATAAATCTCGCTTCTCTGAACTGAACTCTCACTCCCCATATAAATCAGCATCAAGTCAAGTAATGCCTTTAATTTTCAAATGCTGATCCTAGTCAGTTCCTCTTGACGCTTTCAGTGGAGTGCAAACTGTTTGAGGGTCCATAATATGCCTCATCACTGTAAGCCAAAGTTGAACCTATGAGAGAGAAAATATTCAATACCTGCATGATATTTTTTTTCATTGAGCTGCCAATGGCTTTGGTACCATTTTGAAACATTTCCACAATACTGCACCAATGGAATTCAATGACTTATATTATCCCTAGAAATTTGGTAGACAATATGGTAGCATAGTTAAGAATAAGGACTTATGATATAGAGACCTCAGTTTGAGACTTAGATCTGTCATTACTCTCCTGTGACCTGGGTTAAGCTATTCACTCTCTTTTAGTCCCCATTTCCAAAGTGAAAAATAGTATCTTCTTCATGGGAATGCTGTGAGGAATAAATGAAATACAGTCACGTGTGTACAGTGCTTAACTTAGTATAGCTGTATTATAAATAAGTCAATAAATCTTAGGTGATATAATTTGTACTGCTGTTGGCATTATAGTAGATACACTTTACTTCCTAGCAATCCTGTCTTAAAAGGAGGCTGGACCATAAGGGAGGCCATTGAGGTTCATCCAATTTAGTGACTTGCACAGAGTCACACAGCTCATGAGAATGAGATCCAGAACCCAAACCTGGCCTCTGTGACTCTGAACAAATATTCTTTCTCTTTCTACAGCCCTGACTCTGAGGAAACATGCTCAGAGAGCCTATCCCCATGCAGCCAAAATAGACAGTCTGTTCATGGTTTGAATGAAAATAAATCCATCGGCATGGTTGTTACAGAGTCCTAGAGACTCGGGTAAACATTCGGAAAATACACACATTAGGTTCAGGAACTCGAGCACAGTGCTGGGTGTTTTAGCAAGCTGAGTAACAGCATGGGGGAAACACTTCTGTTCCTGATGCATATTCCATACTATTTTGTTTAAAGCCACCAAGTGGATTAAGAAATAAAATTTTAGACACAGGATTTCAGATGAGAAAATGATTGTCTGCAGAGCTCAGACATTTCTGCCCTTGAGAGCTGTGTTTCCATGTGACAACTTTCTAGTCAAGGGAGGTTCTCTAGACAGCTCTGGGGCACTTCATTATTATTTTTTTTTTTAACTGAGACTCCCTCATCATAGTCTCTTTCATTCAGCTTCTCTGTTAGTAAAACACAGTGAGTAATCCCAGGTTTGACATTGCCCAGGGGTGACAGCCTGGATCAGGAGGGGGAAATGAAGCGATCCAGAGAAGGTTGGTGCTTTTAACACCCAGACCTCCCACCATTTAACTTGAGTTATCCTTCCTTCCTCACTCCTCCTTGGGCCTGATGCTAACTAACAATTGAGCCTTGGGAGTTTTATTTCCTGTTACTTTTCTCTCTAAACTTCTTTGTTTTATGCAGTCAAGAGGTTAGCACTAGGTTAATCAAAGCTAAATTTCTTTAAGCTGAGACCCTCTTGCTGAGCTAGCATTTTGATGTTCTTCAATCCTCTATGGACAAAAGTTGAAAGAATCTCTCTTGTTTTTCAGATAGACCACATGGTGCAGGGCCATGCTGCCTTCCCTGAACTACAAGCCAAGGCCACAGCCAGGTAACTGCTATCTCTATTCCTTCTACAGCTTTCCTTTTGTTACTGTATTGAGAACATTCACTTCAGGTGCTTGTGTGATTTTCAGATCCTATGGACAATGAAAATGCCTGTTAGTACTTGCTGCAGGATCATCATCCAAATCCAGAACATACATGTATTAATTTTTAAAATGATCTAAGAAAACTCAGAGAACCTAAAGATCCCCCAGGAATATACCCAAGGTCCACAGATGAGAAACTCTGATGTAGGAGGAGGAGAATGGATTCTGGAGTCAAAACTTCTTGGATTCACATCCCAGATCTACTCCTTACTAGCTGTGTTACCTTGAGCAAGTAATTCAACCTCTTTAAGCCTGTCTCTTCATCTGTAAAACTGAGGGCAATAACTGACATGGAGTGATTTCTAGGATATATTGAAGAAAGCTATATACAAAGGCAGATTTACAGTATGCCCCCTTTCATATGAAAAGAAAAAGACAAAAGAAAACATATGTGTATCTACTCATTTGTATGAAAGAAATAGGAAGGTTAAACCAGAAACTAATGAAATTGGTTCTAATAGGAGATGGGTAGGAATGAGGGAGAAAGAATAAGGGAATGAGAACAGGGTAGTAGGTGGGAATGACAGTTCTCTGACTATACCTTTTTATATAACTGTAACTCTTAAGACATGGTAATACTTCATGTCTGCCTCAAATAAACAGATGATAGATAGCAGAATACTTGTGTATGCTGGGGTGGGCAAAGTAAAATACAAATAGTAAAAAAATGAACTTACTATATTATAAATGAATAATATAACCACACTAAAGGGGGTTGGGGAAAGAAAAGAATTAACCTAAGTAAGTTTAGGAAATAATATTTTGACAGCTGGGAGAATTGGATTGCCATATGCAGAAGAATGAAACTGGACCCCTGTCTCTTACCATATACAAAAATCAACTTAAGATGGATTAAAGACTTAAGTAAAACCTGAAACTGTAAAAATACTAGAAGAAAACCCATGGAAAACTTTTCTGGACATTGGTCTAGGCAAAAAAAAATTATGACTAAGACCTCAAATGTACAGGCAACAAAAACAGTGGTACTTGGGGGGAGTGGGGTAAAGGAGGGGAGGAGTAGAAACCTACCTTACAGGTACAATGAACATTGTTCAGGTGATAGGCACACTAATAGCCCTGACTCAAGCATTATAAAAACTATCCATGTAACAAAAACATGTGTACCCTCTTAATAGTTTGAAATAAAAACAAAAATAATAGGACTTAATTAAACTAAAAAGCTTCTGCACAGCAAAAGAAATAATCAACAGAGTGAATATACAACCTGCAGAATGGGAGAAAATATTTGCAAACTATTCATCTGACAAGGGGACTAATATCCAGAATCTAGAAGAACTCAAACAACTCAACAGCAATAACAACAACAAAAACAAATTCCATTAAAAATTTGGCAAAGAACATACATAGACATTTTTCCAAAGGAGACATACAAATGGTTTCATATATAAACAGGTATATGAAAAAATGGTCAACATCACTAATCATCAGAGAAACACAAATTAAAATCACAATGAGATACCATTTTACCCTAGGCAGAATGGCTATTAATTAAAAAGACAAAAAAGTAACAGATGTGGGCAAGGATATGGAGAAAAGGGAATTTTTACACACTGTCAGTAGGAATGTAAATCAGTACAGCTCCTATGAAAATGAGTATGGTGGTTTCTCAAAGAACTAAAAATATAACTACTATTGGATTCAGCAATCCTTCTATGGGTATCTACCCAAAGGAACAGAAATCGATACATTAAAAAGATACCTGCACTCATATGCTTATGGTAGTACTATTCATAGTAGCAAAGATATGGAATCAAGCTAAGTGTCTATCAGTGGATGATTGATAAAGAAAATGTGATACATTTATGCAATGGAATACTACTCAGCCATAAAAAGAATGAAATCATGTCTTTTGCAGCAACATGGGTGGAACTGGAAATCCTTAAATGAATCAAGCCAGAAACAAAGAGACAAATATCACATGTTCTCACTCATAATTGGATGCTAAAAAATGTATACACATGGATGTAGATAGACAGTGGTGACTTGGAAGGGTGAGGAGGTAGGAGGGGGGTGGATGATGAGAAATTACTTAGTGGGTCCAATCTTTATTATTAGGATTATAAATACCCTAAAACTGTGGTCCCCAACCCATGGGCCATAGACCAATACCAGTCCGTGGCCTGTTAGGAACCGTGATGCACAGGAAGTGAGTGGCAGGCCAGCTAGCCAAGCTCCATCTGTATTTACTCCTGCTCCCCATCACTCGCATCACTGCCTGAGCTCCGCCTCTTGTCAGATCAGCAGTGGCATCAGATTCTCGCAGGAGAGTGAACCCTACTGTAAACTGCGTGTGCAAGGGATCTATCTGGGTTGCGAGCTCCTTATGAGTGAGAATCTAATGCCTGATGATCCGAGGTGGAGATGAGGAGGCGATGAGCATTGGGGAATAGCTACAGTACACGTTATCATTAGCAGAGAGGTTTGACTGCACAGTAAATGTAATGCCCTTGAACCATCCCAAAGCCATTCCCCCCACCCCCAGTCTGTGGAAAAATTGTCTCCCACGAAACCAGTCCCTGGTGCCAAAAACGTTGGGGACCACTGCCCTAAAAGCCCTGTCTTAACCACTATGTAATCTATGCATGTAACAAAATTGCCCTTGTGCCCTATAAATTTATAGAAATAAAAAATAATAAGAATGTTTTGATAGTATGCCATATGGCTAAGGATAAAAATAACTGTACATAAATATTGTGTTCTAATTAGTAAGTTAGGTTTTTATAGGTATGTGGGTTAGCTATACTGAAAATGCTTTATGTATATACCACAATTAAGCAAATAAATAAATATATTGTGGATAATGAGAACCAGGTTTCTCACAAACAGGAGAGGGGAAGGTTAGAATGAACGCTATAGCGTTAGTATCAACTTATGATTTTTAACATATATAGAGTTGGCTATAAATATAAATAAAGAAGATGTATGTATTCACGTGTGAATATACATACATATGTTTCCTAGCTCTCTCTGCTGAGATAGCCTAAAAGCAGTGACATCGTACTAGCAATGTGCACACCTAGCACCCAGATCTTGGCTTCTAAATACTATTCTTCTGGGTCTCCAATAAAAGTAATGAGGGCTCCTTAGAAAGATGGTTAGTTCTAGGGCTGGGGCAGGGAAAACACATGAACATTTTGTGGTGCCAGAAAGTAAGGAATTACTCAAAAAGGAATTTTCAAAGTACATAAGACTCAGCTTTCAGAATCTCTCAATGGCCTAATTGGGGACAATTTGATCAACAAAATAAATAATGATACTATAAAATAACTCCATGAATCCATACTAATGTAAATAATTGACGTAAATAATTGTAAATAATTGAAGAAGGAAATAAACAGAGAAGAAAGGACAGATCTTCCTGTCCACTGTAAGGACAATAACCTTACAAATAACAAATGTAGAAGAAATAATGGAAATAGAAAATTATTAAGCACCACAGAAATATTGTTGCAGGCAAGAATCATCAATGGATGCTAAAATTAGCAAGTAGAAGTATGATCGGAAGCAGGATATTTGCGTACTCCCAAAGGATTTTACCACAAGATACTTACCGAGGGAAAAATAGAAACTTTTCAGTGGAGAAATCTGGCAAACAATTCCTTACGCGAGTGATGAAGGTTAACACCAGCAATAACATGTGTCGGTATCATGTGTTGCCCTTTATGATGCACTGAGGAGGACACTACATCATTTCTGTGATCTTCTTGCCCAAAATGCATAACCTCAATGTAAACATGGGAAAACATCAGACAAACCTAAGTTGAGAGACATTCTGCAAAGTTATTAGCCAGTATGCTTCAAAAGAAGATTATAAAACTTAAATACTGAAGAACTGTCCCAGACTGGAGGAGACTTAAGGAGATACTACAACTAAAAACAATGTGAGATCATGGATTAGACCCTGGGCCGGAAAAGGGACATTAGTTGAGGAAATCTGCTAAAACTCAAATGTAGTATTGTTATTTTTATTTATTTCTTAGGTGATGAGTAAAAGGGAACTTTGTCTACTATTTTTACAACTTTTGTGTAAATGGAAAATTATTTCAAAATTTAGAAATTACTTTTAAGTGGCCTAACTTTGATAATTACATTATATAAGATGTTAACATTAA